CGGGCGTAGTGCACGGGTGCAGAAATCCAGGCCATGGCCGGTGAAGCGGGGGGGGGGGGGGGTAGGGAGCGGCACCCGAGCGGAGGCTCAATGCGAGCTTTGAGGGTGTACCATGTCGAAAAGGTACCGATAAGTGCATTTTGAAGCATTGATATTGTCAAGAATTCACGCAACTGTGAATGGATTACCGCAAAAGTAAAGGCGGCTTAGGCGGCTAACTTTGCCATTTTCTAAGATCATCGTGCTAAAACTTTTGACAGTGGGTCATCGGTATCTGTTCACTGTTCAATCACATGTGTTCCGTTTCATCTTTTTTTTTTTTTACTTGGGCACAAATGTAAGTTTTGAAGATCATAACAGTAGCAAATGCTTCGAAAGATGGATAGTGGGCAAAATATCCTAAATTTGTCGTGCTGCATGGAAAGTAGTGTTGCTGAGAACAGGGGGTTTTGTTCCAGATTGTTGTGGATGCAGAATACATTGTCTGCACTCACTGCAGAATTATTGTTGGTGCAACTGCGCCCACTGCACCCATGGTTCCTACACTTATGGGCCCATCGATAGCGCTTCGGCGATACCTATCGCCTAGAGGCTGCAATGGGGCCCTTAGAGTACGGTGTCAGACCCCCCAGAGGCAGGCGTTGGACCCAAGGGTCAGCGAAGGGCCTCAAAGGCCCAGGTAGGGCCCTAGAGGCTGATGTGAGCCTTCAGAGGCAAGTGCATGACCCCCGAAGGTAAGGCATGAGACCCCCAGAGAACATAACAGGGCCATCATTGGCCGGTGTAGAGACCTCATAGGCCAGTTTGGGGCCCCTCAGAGGCTAGTGTGGTGCCTCAGGTGTCGGTATGAGGCACTTAAAGACCGTAATGGGTCTTCAGAAGCCGGCATCGATCCTTCAGAAGCCAGTACGGGGCCCTCAGAGGCACATAAGGGTCAGTTTGGGTCCCAGAGACAGAAATGGGACCATCAGAGGCCGATGTGGGACTTTTAAAGGCTGGTTTGGGCCCTTAGGGGCCAGCACAGGGCCTGCAAAGGGCAGTTTGAGACCATCAGAGACCGAATTGGGCACTCAGAGGCCAATGTGGGCCCTTACAGGCCAGCATGGAGCCCACAGAGGTTAGCGTGGGGGCCCTAAAAGACCGACATGAGCCGGCGTTGGACCCAGAGGCCAGTAGAGGGCCCTCAAAGGCCAAGATGGGCTCTCAGAGGCCGATGCGGGCCCTTAGAGGCCGGCATCGGGTCTTCAGAAGCTCGTGCGGGGCCCTCAGAGGCTAAGGTGGGTCCTTACAGGCCAGCACGGGCCCTCAGAGGTCAGTGTGGGGCCCTAGAAGACCGGCATAGGCCGGCGTTGGACCCCAGACAGAAGGCCCTCATAGGCCACGATGGGCCCTCAGAAGCCGATGCTGACCCTTAGAGGCCGGCATCGGGTCTTCAGAATTCAGTGCGGGGGAGGGCCCTCAGAGGCTAATGTGGGCCCTTACAGGCCAGCATGGGGCCCTCAGAGGTCAGAATGGGACCCTAAAAGACTGGCATTGGCCGGCGTTGGACCCCAGAGGCCAGTAGAGGGCCCTCGAAGGTCAAGATGGGCCCTCAGAGGCCGATGCGGGCCCTTAGAGGCCGGCATCGGGTCTTCAGAATTCAGTGCGGGGCCCATAGAGACTAATGTGTGTCCTTACAGGCCAGCATGGGGCCCTCAGAGGTCAGTGTGGGGCCCTAAAAGACCGGCATGGGCCGGCATTGGACCCCAGAGGCCAGCGGAGGGCCCTCAAAGGCCAAGGTGGGCCCTCAAAGGCCAAGATGGGCCCTCAGACGCCGATGCGGGTCGGCCGGCATTGGGTCTTCAGAATCCAGTGCGGGGGCCCTCAGAGGCTAATGTGGGTCCTTACAGGCCAGCATGGGCCCTTAGAGGTCAGTTTGGGGCCCTAAAAGGCCGGCATGGGCCGGCATTGGAACCCAGAAACCAGCGGAGGGCCCTCAAAGGCCAAGATGGGCCCCCAGAGGCCGATGCGGGCTCTTAAAGGCCGACATCGGGTCTTCAGAATCCAGCGCAGGGCCCTCACAGACAATTATTAAAGGCTGGTCTTGGGACTCGAGAGACAGAAATGAGGCCACCAGATGCCGGTGTGAGACTATCAGACGCCGGTTGGGCCCCTAAGGCCGGTTTAGGGGCCCTCAAAGGCCAGTGGAGGGCCCTCAGAGGTCAATGTGGGTCCTCAGCGGTCAATGTGGACGCATGACCGCCACTGAAGGGCCCTCAGAGGTCCGTGTAGGACCCTCAAAGACTGGTATGAGAGCTGTTAATAGCTGGCGTGGGTTTCTCGAGCCTCGTGACAATCGAATACGGGCCAGGGCCCCATACGGCCATGGGGGCCCATCGGTTGTTTGGGGGGGGGGGCCAAATGATATGATGGCCCCCCCTGATTTGCCTTTGGGGGGGCCATGGCCCTGATGGCCCCCCCCCCTGCGACCGCCACTGAGAGACGATCATTGCCTTGAGATAATGCAAGTCTTTTACTTAACCCTCGCCCCGTTGGGGGGGGGGGGGCATTTTGGCCCCCCTGTTGTTTCTCCTGAATAGCAAGAAACGGCGGCGCCAAATTTTCAGTACCTTCCCCGGCATCAATTTGACACCTTCACACCGAATTTCAAGTCTTAGGTCACCTTAGGTCAGGAGTTATTGAGGTCAAACTGAGGTCATGTTCGAGCAAAAATGTGCAAAAAACATGCAATCTTGAAACGCTCACCAAATTTACAGTTACCAAGCAATTTCGAAGTTCTTTATATGGTCTAGTAGACAAAAAGCGGCGCTACAAAACTGCTATCTCGAATCTTCAAAATTTTGGGTTTTTGACCCCCAAAAATTCAAAAAATGTTTTTTTAGAAAAACTAAAAAAATCCAAAAAATTTCCGAATTTCGAAAAAAACCGGAATATATATGATAGTCCTTGTGCTCTTCTATATACATACCAAATTTCAGATCGATATCTCGTTTTTTTGGCCAAGTTATAGCGAAAAAACTTCAAAAATGATGACGTCAAATTTTTGAACTCAATTTTTAGCGATTCTAGACCACGTAGGGCAAAACAAAGACCACCATTGAACTCCCCGTGACGAGCTGCATCGAATCGATACCCATTTTATGCAAAAATATCAACTTTGAAATCTGACCTTATTTGACCTGACCTTGACCTGACCTTGACCAAAACGTGACCTTAACTGGCCCAAAACTCTGCCTGACCCACATAATCGCATTTGTCACGTAAAATGGACCATAAAACATGTATCACATGACACTTTCATATTGTGACCCCCCCAGTGACCTGACCTCTGTGACCTGACCTGGTATCAGTGGCCTCAAATAGCAAAATATGTGTTTGAAGAACATTTCCCCATCGATGATTTTCAATGAAATGCATTTTACTCGATTTTACAACGCATCTCTTGAAATGCCTTTAAACGGTGAAAATTCGACCTTTGACCTGACCTGTGACGTCATCGGTTTGACCTAGGTCAATAAAATTGGGTCACAAGGTAGTTCCCTGATAGGGCTATCCAACACCGTTTGCCGCTTGCCGCTAGGTTGCGTGGTTCTCGAGATCTTAGGGGGGGGGGGGGCAAATTGCCCCCCCCCCCAACGGGGCGCGTTGCTCGGCAGAGCCCAACGGGGCGCAAGCTTATTGATAGAAAGGATGTGGCTGACCTGGCCGACAAAATGACATGTCAACCGGCAACCCGCCAGATCCGCGATGGGAACCATGTGAACGCTGCAGCTGACCCTAGCCAAGTCACGAATGGGTCGTACACTCGGAATCGGTTCCGAGGGAGCCGAGGTCATGTTCCACGCTAGCCTGTCGGCGCGACCATGAGCCGAGACGGGCCGCCCGAGACGGTACCCGTGACTCACTCGCGGCGTCAGGCTCGGCTCGGCGTCGGCCGGCCGGGGCCGCTCCAAGGTGGGCCCCTACCTGCGGCTACCTGTACCTACCCACTCCGGCCAGACAGATAGGCAGCTGAAACACCACTGCAAAGCCAACTGGCGCACAAAGCAATGAAACCACCACATCCGCTCCTCAAAAGCACATCAGTGCGCTGCATTACAGTTTTCTCGCCTCTCGGAAAGACAGACTCAGGCACAAGGCAGTCACTGCATGTTGAGGCAGCACTAGCAGTGAATTTTGTGTGAAAGCGAATTCATCAAACACCCCAACGTATCCAGTAGCAGTAGGACTCACCTTAAATTGAGATCCCTGCGTCGCTCCGACGTATCTCCGAAATGTGCAACCCACGCGCTCACGCAGCCGAGCTCAGGTATGCCAGGAATTGGACAAAGAATCCCGACAACGCGGCGCCACCGCGCAGCCGCTCTGCGCACAACAGAAAGGCCAGGCGCGGCCAACGGCGAAACATTTAGTCGGTTCTTATTTTAGCGGCCACTGCTTTTCGGTCCTGTCGGCATATTTGAGCAAGTTGCATGAAGATTCCACACGTGCTGATACAGCAGTAGTGATGCTAAATCATATGTGTTACTTTTGGCTTTCAACTCGTCCGAAAGACCTACGAACAAGTGCCATTTCATCTATGACGTCATATCTGAAAATAGCCCTGCCACTGAGCCAGCTTCTAGTTGTATCTATTCTCGCTACGTGGCGCCACATGACGGAACGCGATCGCTGCGCCATCTATAAGCACTAGCAACCGCAGTCGACGATTGAAGACGCAGGCCGATGCGGTAGGTAACCGTGCCTAAGTCATGGCCTATGAGCCCCTTCATTATCATTTCAAATTAACAGCTCAAAATGAGCCCGAAATGATACATGTTTATACCTGCAATAAGAAGCCAGGACTCTCACGTCGAAGATTTTCTACCCACGGGCGACGCTAATTCCGTGTCTCCCCATGTTCCCTCGTTCCCGGAGTCGGACAGTCACCGCCAGCCGCAGGGCCAAAGATAGACACCGGTTGGCCAGCCCGCCTCTGCAGGAAACAGACGCGCTCAGCGTAGTTCTGCCACTGCAATTTATTACCTGCCGATACCGTGGGCGGCGGCAGCGTATCACAAGGTGGAGAGGCCGCGAGCGCGCCGCCGTCACACACAGAGAGCTACGCGGCGCGGCGGCGACCGGCCAGCCGCGCCCCTACCACACAGGAGCCGAGTACACTGACGGCCGGCGGCGCGGCGCCGAGCGCGCGCTCACGCGCCGCCGCCGCCGCCACCGGTTAATCAGAATATAGATATCACACACCGCTAGGTATTAATACAAAGGTGAAACCGCTACGTTTGTACGTAATGCAAAAATCACATTGAAGAACTGGACGGCGGCGCCCCGGGCGGACCGCGTCGCTACAGTGACTACGGGCGGCGCGCGCCCCTACCAAAGCCCCACCGAGCCGGACCGGCAGCCGCCGGCGCCCGCACAGCCGCCCCGGATCACACATATGAAAAATAGACTATTATGCAAAACTTCTCTAGCTAGCGTAGTGAAAGTGCACGTGTGATCACAAGGAGAGTAGTAGCCGAAGGGGCGGTGGAGCGGGGGGCAGCCGGGCGGCGGCGCGCCCGCTCCGGCCGGCCGCACTATTTGATTATCGAGCGCGCGGGCGCGGCGCGGCGCGGCCGGGGGCGGCCGGGACGGGAGCCGGTGGAATGGAGACAGGAGGGAGGCCGTCGCCCGGCCCGGCGGCCGCCACACACTGAACAGTCCCTGAAGCGTGCGGCGCGCCGGCCGCGCTATATGCTAGTCTGTCTTTGTCGGCGGCTGGCCGCGTAAAGTGGTCCGCAGGAGGGGTAAAACGCGGTCCGGCCGGGCGCCCGCCGCCCGTCCCAGCCACGCCACGCCGCCGCCACACAGGGCATGCATGTCGGCGGCGGCAGACCGACGGGGCGGCGACGGGCGCGCCCGGCCGGGGAGGGGGAGGGGGGGGGAGGGGGTCGGCCGGGAGCCGGAGAGGGAAGCAACCTAGTTCATTGGGGCACCCGCCCGCCCCCGGAGCAATACATACAGCGTCCGTATGTAGCGGCAGCCCGCGGCTGACCAATTAAAAGTCCGGCCCGCTCGCCAACGACAACCTGCCTAACGAGGGAAGAAGCCTAGCCCTGCCTACCGCGCCGGGGACCACGCACCGGCCCCAATCCGAGAGAATCATGTCCAACAACGAGAAAAACGAACGCCGAACACCACAACCAATCTAAAATGCCACACCTCTGAAACGCCGCCGGCAATGGGAAAGCATTGCAAGTTAAAGCTACTAGATCACCTACACACTACAGCACCGGACTCGCGCGGAGGGCCAAGGCACCACTCGTTACATAGACGCTACACGGCGGCGCCGGCCCACCGGGCCTACATGATTACACAGCGCACACCCAACATCGAAACCGACTAAGAACGAACGCTAACATAAAGCCAGCCTAAATGTCAACACTCAAACACCGCCAAACACCGAGGCCGCGCCCGCGCCGCTAAAACCAACCAACATAAAAACCAACCAACCCAAGCGAGCGAGCGAGCAAGATAGAGGGAGCGGGTACGGGTAGTTGCGCCGCTACTCGGCCAGCCAGAGCGGCTGGTACTGCGACTTGCTCGGGCTGAGCGCGGCGTAGTTGAACGCGCCGGCCACCTGCGGGTGTCCGCTGAACACGCTGGGCAGGTGGGCCGGCAGCGGGTGGCCAGACGGGTGCGCCGTCAGCACCGGCCGCGCCGAGCTGTGGTGTGCCGGCGGCGGCAGCAGCCTGCGGGCGCAGGGACACACACAGTCAGACACACGGCCACCGGGCACAGCAACAGACTACACCATACAGCACCACAGACCACACCATGAAGCGCCACGGACCACACCATACAGCACCACAGACTACACCATACAGCACCACAGACCACACCATGCAGCGCCACGGACCACACCATACAGCACCACAGACCACACCATACAGCACCACAGACCACATCATACAGCACCACAGACCACACCATGCAGCGCCACGGACCACACCATACAGCACCTCAGACCACACGATACAGCACCACAGACCACACCAAACACACAGACCACACCAAACACATAGACCACACCATACAGCGCCACATACCACACCATACAGCGGTACAGACCACACTATACAGCACCACAGACCACACCATACAGCGGTACAGACCACACCATACAGCGGTACAGACCACACCATAGAGCGGTACATACCACACCATACAGCACCACAGACCACACCATACAGCGTCACAGACCACACCAATCACAGACCACGCCATACAGTGCCATGGACCCCACCAAACACACAGATCACACCAGACAGCGGTAGCCGAAAGGCGCCCAGCCAGATATACGGCCGCTGATGACTGAAAAGGGACAAGCATTAGCAATTGTAATAAACGTTACACATAAGCTCTGACAATTCTTGGGTGTTTTAGAACATGATCCCTAAATACTTGGCCTGTTAAGCACTTTCCCTACTCTTGGATTTCAAGAGCAAAATGCACCCGTCCAGCTCAACTGTAAGCAACTCTTTCAATGCCCGAAATAATCATGCCGTCTGGTCGTTCCTCGGCCTACGACGCTGGCTGTTCGGGCCCACCCGGCGCCCAGTCGGCTCCCGTGCGTCGGTGACTCACCCGGCCGGGATCTGCGCCACGGAGCGGCCGGCCGCCGCCGCCGCCAGGTACTGCCCGGCCGCGGCCGCCGCCGCTGCCGCCGACGGCTGTGCCGTGGCCACCGCGTACACCGCCGGCCGGCGGAACTCCCGGAACAGCTCGGGCGCCAGCCGCGGACTGAGCGGCGCCAGCGGCGGCGGCTGCGACACCCACGGGCCCGGCGAGACGTGCGCCGCCGCGTAGTTCCTGCGGAGCACCGGGGGAGGGGCGTCACACGGCGGCCGCGGCCGCAACACGCGCGCACAGAAACGGCAATGGTCCAAAAAATGTACAATTACCGGTGACCTACACAGGCACTTCTGCACACATAAACGTCTCCATTGAGATACCAAAAAGACCACCGAACGAAACCCTTTATAGGCTGACGCAGAATGCCTTCCCCTGTACCCCGAGGACCCTGGCCGGACGGCCCGGGAGCGGCGCGCGCACCTGTAGGAGGCCGCCGCCGAGGCGCGGTAGGCCGCGGCTGCCGCCGCCGCCGCCGCCGGGTCCGGCTGCAGCAGCTCGCGGCCGGCGCCGTGGTGGGGGCGGCCGGCCGGCTGCGAGGCCAGCAGCACCGTGTCGCGCCCGACGGCCGCCGCCGCCGCCGCCGCCAGGTAGTCGCGGTGCGCAGAGGAGACGGCCGGCGCCGGCGCCACCACGTAGCGCGCGCCGGCCGCCGGCTGAGAGTGGGCCGCCGGCGGCAGCGGCTCGGCCGAGCGGTACTCGTCCCGGCGCGCCGACACGTAGCGCACGTCGTCGGCGGCGGGCGGCGGCGGCTCGTCGGCGGCCGGCAGGTAGAGGCTGTGCCGGCGGCCGTCCCACTCGCGGCGCTCCCACTCCTCGGCCTCCGGCGCGGCGGCGGCGGCCTGGTTCAGGTGACACTCGGACTGAGACTTGGCCAGCAGGCGCTTCTTCTGCGAGACGGGCGCCGACGAATGGTAGCCGCTGCAGACAGACAGACATACAGACAGTGTCAGTGACGGGCCGCACCACCGGCAGGCGCCGACACCAGTTACATATGACAGACCGAGACTAAAAAGTTAAAATGATACACGAAGACGAGTACACTTGCAGATCTCAAAGGCTACAGAAATAAGAGAACCACTTATTAAACCCATGCTCCTGCGTGAGAAAAGGGCACCTGTCCACCACGCATCACCAGGGTTCCCGAGCCGAGCGCGGCACAGAGACACGAGGCCGGGCCGGTCCCCAGCCGGCGCCTGGCGCAGACACGGGCCCGCCCCCGGCGCACCTTGTCGACGGCTCCGTTTTGACGACGGCCACGGCCGGCTGGGTATCCTCGTCGCTGTCGTGCACCACCACCACGCGCGCGCGGCCGGCGGCGCGCGGCGGCTGGCGCCGGTCGCGCTCCGACGCGCTGCTGGCCAGCACTGAGGCGGCGCTGCACACCGGGGCGGGGGGGGGGGGGCACAGTGAGCATTGCGGACAGGGTGTGCACACAGTGAAACATGCAGCCCCCACTGCCAGGGCACAGTACACAGCATCTCAGTGGACCGAAAAGGACTGACCCGTAGACAGAGGCAGCGCCTGAATCTAAACAATTAACGGATAAGTCCCGGGGAAGTGTGAATGCCAATATTTCAGACCAGAGGCGTTGCAGGGACCTCGGTTCAATAAGACAACCTCGGAATATCAATAAGACAAAACTGTCTCAGATTTAGCCGGACACAACGTGGCCTGGAATTACACACGCCTTCAAATTCAATACCTATGAGAACGACTTCTCCGACGGTTTTTGAATTTCTCACCAAAAACGACTGCACACGTAAGATCGGACAGACCCGCAAAATATGTGCAACACTCTACACCCGGTGCCGGGGAGGGGGGGGGGGGGGGGTGCCTCCGCCCGTCCTGATCCACGGCGGTGAGGTACGGGGGTAGGGAGGGGGTAGTGGGGTCCAGCCGTGACGTACTGGTGGTGGGCGGCCTCGCTGGGCGTCACGGTGACCGACGGACAGGCGCTACTCGGCAGCACGACGCTCGAGTGGCCGCTGCTCCCGCTGCAACACACGGGCCGGGCGGCACTGAGTACAGGGTACTGGGACACGGGCCGGACGGCACGAGTACCGGGTACTGGGACGGCACTGAGTACCGGGTACTGGGACGGCACTGAGTACCGGGTACTGGGACGGCACGAGTACCGGGTACTGGGACACGGGCCGGACGGCACTGAGTACCGGGTACTGGGACGGCACTGAGTACCGAGTACTGGACAAGGGCCGGACGGCACTGAGTACCGGGTACTGGGACGGCACAGAGTACCGGGTACTGGGACACGGGCCGGACGGCACTGAGTACCGGGTACTGGACACGGGCCGGACGGCACTGAGTACCGGGTACTGGGACGGCACTGAGTACCGAGTACTGGACAAGGGCCGGACGGCACTGAGTACCGGGTACTGGGACGGCACAGAGTACCGGGTACTGGGACACGGGCCGGACGGCACTGAGTACCGGGTACTGGACACGGGCCGGACGGCACTGAGTACCGGGTACTGGGACGGCACTGAGTACCGGGTACTGGGACACGGGCCGGGCGGCACGAGTACCGGGTACTGGGCGGCGGGCCGGGACGGCACGAGTTCCGGGTACTGGGACACGGGCCGGACGGCACGAGTACCGGGTATTGGGCGGCGCGCGCGCTCACATCCACGGGACGGACCCACGGGAGGACAAACCGAGTCGGCGTGGAATGAGGAAGGAATGGCGGACCATCGCGGTGGCCGTTGATTCGCCATCCCCGCTTAGCCTAGAGAACAACCGACATCCTACTTTACACAGTACAAATACATGCAACGAAATGAGAGAGGAAAATAGATAACCATTCAGTAGGCAGCTCCTCTCAGACAAGAGCGCGCCAGTGACGAGCAGCGTGCGCAAAGGAGCCCCGCGGTTCGGCGAGCACTCAGAGGTCTGCACTCACTGTTTGTCAGCTGGCGCGCGGCCGGCTGTCTCGTCGTCGCTGTCCGAGATGGTGATCACCGACACGGTCGGCGACGGCGTGTCCCGGATGGTGATGGTCGGCTGACCGCGCCGGCCCGCCGCCCGACGGCCGCCGCCGCTGGGCTCGCCGCCGCGCCGAGACTCGTCCACTGACCAACAGAAAACACCACGTCAACAGCGGGCTCCGCAGTCAGTCCGAACAATCAGACAGCGCACACCCGGCCGAAGCAGAGGTATGTCCACTGGTGAGCTGAGCACAGGACGGCAGCCTCAGACTCACCGCCGAGCACAAGGAAGTTCTTTCAGCCGGCTGAGCACAGGACAGGTCAGACTCACCGCTGCTCTCCTCCTTGGGCTTCTTTTTGACGGGGCTGATGTGTGAGACGGGCTCCTTCTTCTCCACGTAGAGCGCGCCGCGCCGCGAGCTGTCCCCTGGAGAGAGGGAGAGGAAAGTTAACAATTAAAACATCAAGACATCTTTCACAATATGCTTAGCTGCGCCGAACAAGAGGGACTGCCGGGTCGGTACGGCCCCTGAAATAAGCCGGGCTATCACGGGAAATGGCCAGATTTACCAGTCATCAAACGACGCCGAAACGCATAAGACGAAGGTCTATGTTTCTTCGGTCAGCTCTTAAGTCACACGAAAAAAACGAGCGTTATGAATAAATTTTGACCATTGAGGCCTCGCCAGCGGTACTAACCGCTGCTCTCTTCCTTGGGCTTCTTTTTGACGGGGCTGATGTGCGAGACGGGCTCCTTCTTCTCCACGTAGAGGGCGTGCGGTGCGCCGGCCGGCGGTCGCGGCGCACCGCTCCGCTTGCTCGGCCGCTGGCTGTACTGGCCGCCGCCGTGCGCCGGCGCCGGGGCCGGCGGGGGCGCGGGCGCGGGCGCCGGAGCGGGCGCGGCGCGCGGCCGGGGCACCATCTCGGCGGCCTGCAGCAGCATGTCCGGGTACATGGAGCCCGGCTGGTCCTGCCGGACACCGGCAGACCGTCAGACCCGCCGACAGACCACCGCCGTCATACAGCTCATCTCGCCGACCAGTCACACGGACCACCAGGCCCGGTCAAACAGACGCGCCGACCGGGCCCGGTGACACGGCTCCCCTCCCAGTGCGGTACACTCTGCGCCACACTCGCCTCCGTCTGACACCCGGCGCCCACCAGTCGGCGCCCCTCCGGCCCGCCCCAGTCGGCGCCCCGCCTACCTGGAGGAAGGAGGCGCTCTCGACGAGCACCGGCCGCGGCTGCGAGAGCCGCCAGTCGGCGCTGTCCGGCAGCAGCGCGGCAGACGGCTGCAGCGCCGCCGCCGCCGCCGGCTGCTGCCACGACGGCACGAACGTCATCTGCCTGCTGCCGGCCGCCGGCCACGAGCTGCCGTTCTGCTGCGCAGCGGGGGAGGGGGCGTCAGGGGGGCACAGCCAACACCACACAGCCAACGGGTGACATGAACTGCTGCCAGGCCAAGCACGGCTGTCACGATGCGCTTATACCTTATCTGAAGCAGATTACGACTTAGCGACTGGTTCCAAGAGGGACACCATCACTTAGAATCACCATTACTTCAGCGAGAACATTAATGCTTGGTAGTTAGCGTCCAATCAGCCGACGGAAATACATATACGAGTAACAACCGAGACGGCAAAAAGCTTCGATCACCAGGCGATGCGACACAGCACAGCAGACACAGTCAAGTGGCGTTATAATAGGACAACACGTGACTCCAGCCGAGCGCTAGCGCTGCCGTCACAGTCACCAGCCAGCCCACCGGACCTTGTAGCCACACGGGGACACCTCACCGCAGCGTCTTTAGCTTTACCATTACAGCGGCGGGCGAGCCGGCGCCTTGCGCCGTCTCACATGCGGGCGGACGTGGCGGCTGGGGAGCTCTAGGTGCGGCAGAGGTTCTACGGTCCGAGGCCCATCCACGACTACTCTGCCATGCGGGTCACTGGTCGGACCAGACAAACAGACAAACAGACATGCGGACGACAGCCCGAGGGAGAGCAGAGGCCGCGGCTGGCCCCAAGACGCGTCGGTACTCACCGCAAACAGCATCGGCCGGCCGGACTGTTCTACCATGGAGACGGGCACGTACTGCTGCTGGGGCACCTACGGCGCACGGGCAGAGACAGAGAGATAGACAGATAGAGAGACAGAGATAGAGACAGAGAGGGAAGACCAGGGTGTGTCAGACTACCGAGGCGCTCTACAGTGGGAGACACGCACAAACACGGACGCGCCGGGTACCCCGCGGCAGGCGGGCCGGGACGATTGATGGGGTTCACGGGACAGTAGGGCGGAAAATGGACTGAGACTGACGGCGCCTGGAGCTGTTGGCTGGGCATACGTATGGGATAGCCAGGATCATGGTTCGACAGGACGGTGACCAGGAACTGCGCGGGCAGAAGTGAGGAGGCCCACGATCTACGGTTCATCGTTCTACAAAGCGACTCCCGGCGGCTGGCTGTGTCCGCCCTAGCTAACGGCCGGCGGGCGGCCGGCGCGGGCCTCACCTGGTAGGTCTGCGGGTGCGGCGGGCACAGCAGTGACGGCACCAGCTGGTGCTGGTAGGAGGCGGCCACGCGCGACGAGCCGTACTGGCGCTGGGTGCGCGGCTGGTAAAACTGGTACTGGGAACGAACAGCGGCCGGGCGTCAGCACACGCGGCGCACAGGCACACATACACCACTGAGACCAATGGGCAGCTCAGAGACGAGCACCGTATCACATGGCGACTCTGGAAGTTCACACACGCAGCCCGAGTGGGACGGCGGCCCTTGGGTCGGTAGTGAGCGCGCCGGCGGCTCACCTGGTTGGGCAGCTGGTTGTTGAAGGTGATGGCCACGTTGCCGACGCTGGTGGGCACCAGGTTGACCAGCTGGGCGGGCGCGGCGGCGGCCGGCGCGGCCGGCGCGGCAGCCGCCGCCGGCTGCGGCGTGAACACGTGCCGGCGGCACACCTCCATCATCTGCACCGACGCCTTGACGTTGGCGCAGTGAGAGTAGTCCACCAGGTGCGACAGCGTTACGAACGCATGGTTCAGCGCCTCGGGCGGCATCACCCGACGCTCCTGGGGGCGGCGGCGGCGGCGTTACTCGGCGGCCGGGACCAGGGAGCCACTCGGCAGAACGAGCACACACACCGAGTACAGAGTGACACAGAAATGGCGAACAACGTAGGACGTCTTACTACGGCGGGTAAGGCAATCCCCGTGTCCCATGTTCCGGCCCTTCCCAGCCGCGCGGGCCCGGTCCGGCGGCGGCGACCCACCTGATCCATGGTGAGCATCCGCTTGATGAGGTCGATGAACTCTCGCCTGTCCGTCTTCTCTGCGAGCAGCTCGCCACTCTCCAGGTCCTGCGGCACGTTCACCTGCGCCATGTCGTCCAGACAGTTGAAGATGTACTTGCGCGCCTCCTTCGACTTGATGCCAGTCTCAGACTCGTGCTCCTCGGGTGTCTGTCGGCGCGCGAAGGCAGACAAGGCGGTCAGCTAAGGGGTTCTGCGACTCGCGCGCTTAGAAAGTCAGTCAACAAAAGGGGGCAGACTAGGCAGAAGTCGAGTGACATGGATCACAACAATACATACTAACCACGACCGGCAGTATTCGCAGTAACTGCCGAAAACGCGTGAGACATTTCCGGTCGGCCCACATGACTCATGACAACTCCGGTGAGCAATGTAAATTGATGTGAGAGGGTCGAGGGAACAGAAAGTTTGCTGAAATTGTAATATTTGGAGACACCACCAGACAGGAAGAGGAGCAAATGAAAAAAATCCCAGCAGGTTCAAGGTCAGACAGCTAAGCCGTGACTCCTATATTTCCTGTGCGGCTCTGATATCTGTACATCAAAATGCGTGCATAATGATGACCGTTTACATTTAGTAAATATAGAATTAAATCAAATCATTCACATCCAGTCAGATAAATCAGCGGTAGAATATAAATATGAGCACGGTGACAATAGGGCCTCTGTTGACAGTTGGTCCGGTGAGTTCCGTCCCGTTCCGTGGCACTATTATTGCCGGTGCTCGCCGGCTCCGCGGCCAGCCCAGGCCAGACAACACGGCCGGGCGTTGCGCAACTGCAGTTGGGCCCGGCCGGGAGCGCGCCGCGGTGGCGCAATCTGCAGACACCGGAACCGGGCCCGGTCTGCGCAGCCGCGCCGCGGCGGCCGAGACGAGGGACGGTCCGCGCCACCGGCACAGACAACACGGACGGGCCCCAGCCCGGACCTCACGCACCTTGAGCCGCCAGCACGGGTAGTTCTGGTCGACGTCCCGGTAGAAGAAGCGCGTCGTCTTGGTGGCGTTGTTGAGCATGTGTTCGGGCGGCTGTCCCTGCGTCTGGCGGATGTAGCGGATCTGGTCGTACTCGGAGCTGCCCGGGTACAGCGGCCAGCCCAGGAACAGCTCGGCGATCACACAGCCCAGCGACCACATGTCGATCGCCTCGCAGAACGGCAGACCTGGCGCAGCGCGCCGCACACACCGTCAGTCACCGGTACACAAGGCGGTACGGTACAGAACGGTACGGTGTCAGTAGGTACACGGTCAGTCAGCGGTACACAAGGCGGTACGGTACAGAACGGTACGGTGTCAGTAGGTACACGGTCAGTCAGCGGTACACAAGGCGGTACGGTACAGAACGGTACGGTGTCAGTAGGTACACGGTCAGTCAGCGGTACACAGGTCAGCGCACGGCGTACTCAGTGAACTGTCAGTGCCATACACAAGGCGGTGCGGTACAGCACGGTACGGTGTCAGAGGTGTCTCATTAAAGGTAGTGTGCCAGCTTTCCTGGACCATATGGAGTTAATGACCCGGATAAGGAGAACCGGATTTTTAGAACTTATCCATACCTTCAAAACTCATGGAAACGTCTTAAATTCATCAAATTTTGAGTACCCAGTGCGAAATTCGCCCCGACGGGTTGTCGGTCGTACCCCAACCACATTTCACACCACTATGAACAATAAATGCACACACTAAAATCGCTATTACCGATAGGCTCATCCAATGAAGTTTCGATAAACCCATTCATCATTATCTCCTGCGGTTTCGAACACGCCTGTTAGGTGGCTTCTGCTCAAACTTTGTGGTGCGGTGGTGGTGCGTCGGGCCGCGCGCTCTGACTTCGGCCAAGAAAAATGCGTCAGCTGATCATTGTCATTTCTGCCACTTTCGTGTGGTGAGATGGGTTCATAACTTAAGAGACGGCTGTTTCATATCAATTATTTTACATAAAATCATATTTCAAACCATAAATTAATGTTCGACAGCCAAATTAAAGAAACAATACCAACACAGGCTTACAGTTTAAGTTCGACATTGTCTTGTCTACGATTAGACAGCTGATAACTCATTCCCGTACGTCGTAACTCTATAATGACCTTTGCTTATTGTTACATGTGCGCCGCATTCGCGATTGCTGCCGACGCCTGTTTGCAAGTCAGCCCACTACAGTTATTATACATATCGAAAAACCGATAAACTTTTAGGCGAAAAAAAACACTATTCCAGGCCCATTTTTTTGCGATATTAGGTAAAAACAGGAGCTTCTTATCATAGGAAAAATAAAATGGGAAATCATTGGAAGGTGGCACACTCCCTTTAAATGCTTGTCAGGAGGCTGTGTGTCAGTACACCGATATACAGTGTAGTCATCCCACATGTTTACGATCATTATTTTCCAAACAGATGGGGACGGTTGCTAAGGAGCAGGCAGAAGCAGGATGTGAAGTCCGCGGTCTATGTCTGCGCCTGCCGCCGGTACGCCCGTCCCGCGGGCCGGCCGCCGGACGGCCCCCGATCGGGGCGCCGCAGATAGGCGGCACTGCCGGCCGATAGCGGCCGGAGCCTTTGATCGGCGGAACCGCCGGATTCGGAGACCGACACCGCCGGCAGATACGGCCCAGTCGATTTGTCACCTCCCCCGTACCAAAGAGGCACCACCTCGACCTGTGGCAAAGCGGTGGAGACGCCAGGCACCTCAGCACTACACTCCGTGCCCGACTGGTGTCCATCTTAAATGGTCGGAACTCGGAACGCCAACAATGTACGCCCGATGGTAAACACGAAACCCAAATTCCTGCCCCAGCCGGCGGTCCCAGCGACGCCCGACCACGTGAGAGTTCCCGCCCGGATCCGTGCCAGAACCGACCGGAACAGCCCGGACGGACGGACGGACGGACGGACGGAGGCCTTGGTGCGCTCTCGTGCTGACCTTGAATGGCCGTCCGCTAGCCCGTCCAAGACCGTGACAGCTTGTGTTTTGTGATATACTATCTAAATCAAATATACAAAATTGCATGTTCTTTAGAAATGCCAGTATTTGAAATAGAGTATGTCCAAATTTTAACCAAAGCAAATGAACAGCGGCTTGCAACCTGAATCACTTTTTCTCAGCACTGCGAAGTAATGCGCATGTCTTACCGGCCAATTTTGTCACCGCACATCCACACAAAAGCTGGGGATGCTTCACTAGCGCGATGCGGCTTTTCCTGGGGCCTGCCTTCGGCGCCACGGTGTCGGTCCGCCAGCGGGGCCGGAATATTTACACCGTTACCAAATGAATGTCGGTGACTCACGGCTGACCGGAAAGCCGCGGTATGGCCGCGCTGGCCCTTTATGGGGAAGGCGCCGCCCCGCCGCCGCGCCCCGCCGGCATAGGAGCCTGCGTCCCACTGACGGCATACAGGTTGGTTACAAAATACCGACAAACAAGGACAGGACGTGCCGCCTGTCCCGCATCGGCGGCATCACTCCGCGGATCTACCCGTAACGGTAAAACATTACCGCACGGCAGCGGCCAGCCCTTCCTCGGCGGAAATGCCACAGGGTGCACACCAAATGGCGCCACGGAACTCGAGTGTAGTCTCGGGCAAGCATGATGGACCCACAGGGTATGATCTCTGGCCATCAAGGCGGTCTCACTCACCGAGTATGGTCTCTGGCGATCAGTGCGATCTCACTCACCGAGTATGATCTCTGGCGCGCGGTAGTAGCGACTCTGCAGGTAGGTGTTGCAGACGGCCTTGCTGGCGTGCGAAGCCGAACCGAAGTCGATCACCTTGACGCGGTAGGGCTGCCGGATGGGGTCCACCAGCATGATGTTCTCCGGCTTCAGGTCGGCGTGGATCAGACCCAGTTGCTGCGGGCGAGCGGCGCGGTCCGGGTCAGCGGGACGGGGCGCACAGCGGCCAGCGGCGACCGGCGGCCGCTCAGTGACGCCACCGCTCAGGGTTCATCACATTACAAACACTGCCGTTCATGGTGAGGTGACGGCGGCGGCCTACAGCCACAGAGGGCTCAGACCGCCGGCAGTGCCCCCAGCGACGGGCACCCACTGACGGACACCAGCCGCACAAACATGGTCCCACACCCGCCCCCCCCCCCCCGCGCACGTCTGTTCTCACGGTCAGGGCGACTGCTCTATCAGCACCGACACAGCCAGACCCAATTTACACGGTATGTAGCCGGACTACGAGTCCACATATAACTGAGCGGCGCACCAGCCCGACCGGCCCGAGTCGGGGCACCACCAGTCAGGCTGACATGAGAGCCGTTACAGAGCGACCGCCGGGAGAAACTCTGTCAGATACGCGCGAGTTACCTTGAGTTTTAGCAGCGCCGTCAGCACCTGCTGCAGGATCGGTCTGATGAACTTGAGCGGCAGCGGAGAGAACTTGTTCTGCTTGAGGAAGTCGTACAGGTTCTGCTCCAGCATCTCAAACACCAGACAGGTGTGGTTCTTGTGCTGGAAGCACTCGTGTGCGCGCACGAAGTTGAACTCATCCGCGTTCTCGTGGCTCAGTCGAGACAGGATGGAGACCTGGCGGCGGCCGGTGGGACGGTGTCAATGCCGTACTGACAAGGCCGAGCCGAGATCGGGAGAACGTGGCGTCAGTTACACTACACCCGCTCAGCTGAGCGGGGTCCATTCCGTCCGGTGCGCCAGTGCCGCCGCCGCCGCCCGCTGCGGGGAGCCGGAGAGGCGGCGGGCTGTGACCGACCGGAGCAGATTGGGCCGGGACGGACGGGCGGTAAATCAATGGGGCGCCGACACGGAGCGGCGGCTGAGGCGGCGCGCACACCGGCGGGACAGCCACACCGGCGCACCGCACACCTTCACTGGTTACAGCCGGCAACACATCCGTCCGTACTGAGCGGCGTAAACAAAAACACGGGCCGGCCGGCCGACTCGAAACAAACAGCAGCGAGTGTTTATCAATGACTGCCGCGGCGGCTGGTCGCTGAGACAGCGACTCTGTCGGCGGCCCGGCCCGGCGGCTCACCTCGATCTGACCCTGCCGAGCGTACGACGGATGGTTCTTGAGGATTTTCATGGCCACGATCTCATTGGTGCCTTTCTTCCAGCACTTGACCACCTGGCCGAAGGTGCCGCGGCCCAGGAACTCGAGTACCTCATACTGCGGACACAGAGTGGGTCAGAGTTAGAGTCAGGGCGGTGCACGGCTGCGGGCTACAGGGGACTGGGGCAACAGATTCTCTCAATTGAAATGCGTAAATATATTGTTCCAGAGGCTAAAAAAGCAGAAGATCGCAATATTTTGGTCACACGGATTACATTCACACGGCGTTTTCGAGGAATCCATTGTATTCGGCCGCCAGCAGCCACTCAGCGGAATGTGCAGCGGCAGCGCCCTCGGCCGGCTGGTGCCCCCCAACCTCGCGTGTCGGCGAGGCTGGCCGCCCAGTGCCCACCCGGCGCCGGCGCCCACGGAGATAAGGGTGTCCCGGCCGCCGGCCGCCGACGCGCCGCTCGTTCTCCCAAAGTGAGATTGTCCGCGGCCGTGAATGGCCGCCGCTTCACGTCCGATGAGAGGTATTGAGGTTAACGGCCGGCCGGCTGGGCCAGCCTGTATTCCCGAAAGCCAAGCCATCGGCGCCGGGCGGACGATAAAGCGGGGCGGGAGATCCCGAGTTGGGGTCGGCGCGGGTCACACAATAACCCGGCCCGGCCGGCCGGCCAACGACGCCGTCCAAACAACACACGGGAACACAGGCGCCGCGCGCCCGGCGCCCCCGCCGACTGCGGCGAAATAGCCCGGGCCGCGGAGAGGGCCGCGCGGGAGCGAGCCTAGCACGGCAGCGGCGGCACGGACACTGACGGCTGAAAATGCACACAAAATAGCAGAGCCCTACTGACAGCGCGCCCGCTCCGTGCCGTCGGCGTCGGCGCCGTGACGCGGCCGGGGGCGCACCTGGTTGGTGAGGCTGCAGAGCACCTCATGCTGCACCAGCTGGTAGTCGCCATCGGTGGACGAGCCGGCCGCGGCCGCCGGCTTACTGTGGGACGTCGTCGTGCTGATTTGGGCCGACGATTCCTCGCCGGCATAACACTCTCGGCTCGCAGTCGACTTGCGCTGTCGGCGGGGCGGGGCGGGGCGGGGCGGGCGGTCAGAGGCGCCGCGCGCGTCAGGAAGTGGCCGGGTGACGGCGCCACACCGGCGCTGTCGGGCCGCCGCCGCTCGCGGTCCGCCAACGTGACAGGACCATTTCATGTGATAGCTCTCCTGAGAACTGCGGGCTTAGCGGTCCAACATATCTTTGGAGGCATACTTCAGGCAAAAGATCAGGCAAGCAAGGGATTATGCCGTAAATACACGGACGATTTGCGTCACAAAGCGAAAGTGGCATCGCGAATGATGTCATACAGGTAAGGTCACGGTTAGGACGAATTCCCAGGATACTTGGAAATAGACGCTGGCGCAGATGCAAAATGATAATGCAAAGTTGAATAACAAGCATGCGCAAAAATCCCACGTGTGTATTGCTAAATGCGGCAAACTTCAGTGTACAAGGTAAAATACCGACGGGCTGGCACGTTTCCGTCCGTCACGTCATAAACACTTTTGTCAGTCCGAAAAGTTTATAAAGCGCACGAGTTTGTAGGATCATGTCATCCTCTAAGATTCCTCTGAGTTACAAATTTCGTACCAGCGAGTGGTGAAATCAATGTTGAAAATAACAACATGAGCTACAAGCAGTGTATCACCAATGACAAGAGAAGACGAAGTCATCAAATAATGCGCCAAATTCAACACGTATTCTCACAAATAAAGCACGTGATTTCAATCACGAATTACATCAACTAAAATACGTTACACACTTTGCACACAGTCTCCACAACATTCCGGCGATAAGACCCGTCCCAGTCAGGCAGTAGAGTGAGTTGGCCAGTGCCTCCTCTGTGCGCCACTGAGCAGCCCAGTCTCCTCAGCCGGTCGGTGGGAGGTGTCTCCCCGTGCCGTCCCACTGTGCGGTGACCCCGCCCCCGTGCCGTGACCCCTCCCCCCCGCAGCGGGCGCGGGCGGCTCACCTTAACGCCGCACCTCTGGTAGGTATCTAGGCGTGCGTTTTGGCGCACCATGCGCGACTGTTGCGTGTGACTCTGGCTGGGACTGGGGACATGGCCGTATGGGTCGGCTCGGTACTCCTGCGGGCAGCCGTCCAGCTTCCGGCGCTTGCTGCTCACCTGCAGAGGACAGATCGGCCGGGTCAGACGGGAGGACAGGCCGGCCGGGTCAGACGGGAGGACAGGCCGGCCGGGTCAGACGGGAGGACAGGTCGGCCGGGTCAGACCGGACGCTGGGGACGCCTACCCAGTGCCCCTCTCAATACTACTGACGGTGCCGGCATCACCAGCAGACCAGGCGCGGACGGAGGGAGCACACACAAACGTTTGGAAACGTCACCGAATCACACTGTGACCGACCAGTCCGAAAGTCGGCGGCCAGGGCGAAAGGAAAACCGCAAGTCGCGGGATTTTTGAACGTTAGAACGGTATAACTTCAAGTTTACTACATCAGGCAATACGAATACACTGAGACTGTAGATACATGTAGATACGAATACACTGAGACAAACACGCCGGCACGACAATTTTCCAACCACATGCAAAACATGGCCACAGAATATCTCAATCTAAGGATGGAAAAATAACTAAACGGGTCAAGCATAAAAGCAATATTATTGCGACACAGAGACATCGATCAGCATCAACAGACCGTATCTGTTCGCAATCGAAGGAAAAACCAAGATTCTTACAGATAAGTCGCAGACTACACTGCATCCTTGCATGCGGTATCCAAACATCGACACCGCGCTGTTCCCATTCCAGCCCACCATTCCCGGGCAGTCTGAGCAGTGAGCGGCAGCGGGCGGACCCTCGCACGAACGCAATGTTATAAAAATAGCGGCCCGATCGCAGAGAAATATTGCACCTCTAGTGCGTCACTAACGTGACACTAAACGGATGAGACTGTACTGAGGTGCACGCGCGTAACATCCGGGGGCGAATATTCTCCGGCCACGGACAATAGTTGGAGGCAGGAAAACGGAGAGGTAGAGGGGAAGGAAGGAAGGAGAGAGAGAGAGAGAGAGAGAGAGAGAGAGAGAGAGAGAGAGAGAGAGAGAGAGAGAGAGAGAGAGAGAGAGAGAGAGAGAGAGAGAGAGAGAGAGAGAGAGAGAGAGAGAGAGAGAGAGAGAGAGAGAGAGAGAGAGAGAGAGAGAGAGAGAGAGAGAGAGAGAGAGAGAGAGAGAGAGAGAGAGAGAGAGAGAGAGAGAGAGAGAGAGAGAGAGAGAGAGAGAGAGAGAGAGAGAGAGAGAGAGAGAGAGAGAGAGAGAGAGAGAGAGAGAGAGAGAGAGAGAGAGAGAGAGAGAGAGAGAGAGAGAGAGAGAGAGAGAGAGAGAGAGAGAGAGAGAGAGAGAGAGAGAGAGAGAGAGAGAGAGAGAGAGAGAGAGAGAGAGAGAGAGAGAGAGAGAGAGAGAGAGAGAGAGAGAGAGAGAGAGAGAGAGAGAGAGAGAGAGAGAGAGAGAGAGAGAGAGAGAGAGAGAGAGAGAGAGAGAGAGAGAGAGAGAGAGAGAGAGAGAGAGAGAGAGAGAGAGAGAGAGAGAGAGAGAGAGAGAGAGAGAGAGAGAGAGAGAGAGAGAGAGAGAGAGAGAGAGAGAGAGAGAGAGACGATATAGGAGTGAGGGGAGAGAGCGCGGAGTGGTGTCGTGGTCCGTGGCAAACCCAATTTCCCGCTGATCGGTTTCGAGCGGCGGGGTGGCCGGGTGTCGCGCTGGCTGGCCAGCGGCCGGCGCCAGTGCCGGGCCGGCGGGTGATGCAGGGGCGGGTGGCGACAATCGGCGCTGTCCATCTGCGGCCGGTCGCGGACCGGCGCGCCGCCGCGGCCCGCCGACACACAATACCGCCGACAGTTTGTTCACCCCGACTCGGCTGCGCGCGGCGGCCCGTGTACGGCCGCCGCCACTGCACGGAGCAGCCGGGGACGGGCGGTCCCCGCCGACACCGACCGGCCCGCCACCCCCGCTGACCCGACACACACCCTTTAGGAGGCGCTGACTCACAGGAGGGTCCGTACCGGGCGGGGGACGGGTCGTCAGAGGCGGCGCGCCGTCGGTCCCGGCGGCCGGCGCTCGGGGCTGAGGAGGGGGAGGGGTTCCGGCGCCGGAGTTGGATTGTCTCAGCGTGGGCCCTATCTCCCACGCCGGCTGGCAGCGGACGGCCACAAAAACGGCGGCCGCCGCCCGGCTGCGCTCAGTATATCACATCACTGCCGCGACACCGAGCCGGCGGCACCGCGTCCGACGGCCGGCCGAACCGCGGCCAGTGACAGGCCGTGTCGGGGCAGCTGCATTCGTATCCCCAGATACAGGAACAAGCAATGAAAACACTTCACTGGAACCCGATCATTTTTGGCATTATTTTATACTCATTTCAGCCTAAATGAAAACACTGAATACAATTCAATAAATCACTGTTCAGTTTGTCTTTCACCCCTGCAAATGTTGAATCCCACCACTCATAACCAAGAACTGCATCATGATCCATACCTCTGCCCAATGCCCAGCATAACCCTAGCTTGAATGAAACAGCATGTCACTGTCACATGTCATATAAAAGATATAACTCATAAGGTAACACTCATTCCGACTTCTTCCCAGCCTTAAGACACCTTTTGGTGAATAAACAAATGGCCCCACTTAGCAATGACCAGACACAAAAAGAAACCCAGAGGCAATTCCAGAGGGTCACCTAAGCACATAATTTAGATCAACTGTATAATTCAAACATTAACCCTACCAGAACACATCTGCAAGAGCATTATTCATGAGTTGCACATAAACAACCCATACTAAGGCTAACTTAATTTAAGTATCAAATATGGAAATTCAATTGATATTACCCATAGTCATAGCATGCACCTAATTATCACAAGAATACTTTGATCATTTAGCCAGAGCACATCAAGGTTGGTTTGTAAGGGTAACAAAAAAAAAAAAAACTCACATCATTTCAGCTAAGTCAATGTGCATCCTGAACACTTCTTAGAGGTCATGGAGCAACAATGCTATTTCCTGGCACAATAACAATAACCTGGTAGGTAGTCATTGACAAAAGTACCTGACACCTTGCCAAACAGTTAGGGCAAATTATGCTTCACATACCTACTGATGTCTTAATATGAAGGTGTACTCTAACATATGGTATGTTAGATGTTAGTTTTGGCTTGGTTGAGGGCGAGGCTTTTTAAGTAAATGTCAATAATCTTTATGCTTGAGTTTATTGGACATATGCAAGCCTATGGACATATGCTTTGCCTGTTATATTTGAGTAGCAGATCAAGGTTAAACTTAGTAAAAGCTGACCAATAAAACTGCCATTAATGACGGCTGACTTTCTGAGGGCATCAAGGTCAAAGGCTGTGCTTTGCTTGTTTATTGGGGCTTTAGGGCATGCCAACTACCATCAAAGACTGTGCGAAAATCTAGTAGGTAAGCGCACAAAGTGTAATGACTTTGATACTCCACAGCACTTGGGGCTCAAACTCATCCAATGGGTTTCAAAAAATTTAATAAAATGTGGTTGCCTCAGTCTCAGCTGATTATGCAACAAACTAGGACAAAATGAATATCCCGTTGTGGTCGGAATGACCTATTTTGAGCATGATTACAATGGAAAACACACCACAGCAGCTGTACAAAAAATGCCACTTACATGCAAACCTCCTGGGGCACAGCTGCTACTACTACTTGCTGTATCCACGACAAGGTGAGCATTCATCACCAAGTCCTCCACATATGCCACCACTCTGTCCACGACCACCTTTCCACAATGGTTCAGTGGACACACAGCCACAGGTGCTGGTGCACCAACACACCCAGTGGAAGGTGATCAGTTCTTCAATGCAGCCCCATCTCGAATTCTGGAACAAACCCATCAAACATCAAAAATGCCATCAGAAAAAAAACGGTGTGGCACACGACCACGTTGTTTACCAACGAGAACAACGCAATAGAAGTGGGGCAATAACCTTGCCCTATGACTGACAGAGGTTACAATGAAGATCAGATCAATATGTCAGATGTATACAACAACACATTATTTATGGAAAGAGCTACAAATCGACTTATTTTACCTTTTAAACTTCATTTGATGACCACGCAATACCCAAACAGAAACGCCATTTTCCCCCCGAGGAGAAAGTAACCGACATCTAGCGGGAAAACATTTCTCGTTGTCAGACAAATACGTGGCTCACATTTGTGTATTTTTATTCTCTTTGTTCTTGCTTCACAATTTTCATATATTTCGCCTTGTTTTTTTCAGAAAACTATAAATTTTATTTTTTAATTTTTGAGAAGGAATGCAAATAGGCAAGTGTCGAATCAGCAAAAAGCAAAATTCGAGCAGCATGGAAAATAATGACGTTTCCTCTCTCCTATCTCCCACAGTGTATATAAATACAGTGTCGGCAAATGAGCCTGGTCACGTGACCGGCGGACTCGCCGTTTTTCGAGGGATCCGCACGTGCGGTTGTGGCGGGGGCACCACCCGGTAACTGTGGTGCCGACTCGCTCTCGGCCCCCATAGGGATACAATGGGACCTACTTTTTGATTAGCTCTCCTGACTAAACTAGGACGAATTTTTCAAAGATACAACTAGCACCACATGCAGTCGTGTGTAAGCTTTCTAACGGTACCAAAAACATATTTTTATCGGCAAAATTGAATAAGTACAGGCCCATTTTAGGTTCGATTTGCGCTTATGACGGAAGAGAAGCCACCACTAATTATAAATACAACGAACAAGTGTTGGAAACCGGAGTATAACTGCAGTTTTGAATTACATTAAAGCCATTTTCAGTCACTGCAACCGATGAGTGGAAGTGATCAATGTATTCGGTCACGCATTACCGTTAGGTATTACCTATATTGAATACATAGTACCCACCTACCAACAACACTCGATAGATATGCAACATATCGCAACAAAAATTACCCGACGTTTCGTTGAGGGAAATAATTGTCACATTACAACACAACACTCATAGACATTGTTCTGATCTAGGTATCCTAGATGACCAACTAAGGTTTTGTGCTGAACTGTGCCAGACAGAGCAGTTTTGTCCAAATATGGAAATAAAAAGGAGCATCCATGTTGCTGTGTTTATGCTGGAGCCAATAGTTGATAGGTGTTGATCCGTTCTATTGATGCCGGTAAACAGCGAATCGGGGTTGTCATTGCTACTCGTATTTCAATGCACAATGAATGAAAGTCGTCAAAATGGAATGCCGCATGCCTATTTAACAATAAAAGTTGGATACGAGGGTCCATGCATTCGGGTCCATCGTGGATCGTACAAAAATTGCCCAGCCCGGGTCAGCCCAGAGCCCATTGCTTTCCATAAAAATTGTTTCAGTATCTACTTCGCTGGAGTCAATGAGCTTGTCAATTTCAAAAAAGCTTTGTTGCATTTGTGCATTTGTGCAAACACTTTGCAGTTGTTACGGGCACAACATCCGAAATGCAACATGTTGATGTGCTTACAGCTGTACGCCCGTACTCAGCATGGTTGTCATGAAAGTTGGGGGAGGGGGATTGGGAGGCGGTCACACGTTGAGGGGTCACAGTCCGGGACTTTGACACCCCCCCCCCTTGTACCGCCTGAACGGGAACCTATACTCCATCCTGTCCCGTCCTCTGTATTAGCCGCCTTTAAATCCGCCCGATGACCCTGCTGTTTTTAAAGCCAACCTGAGCTGAGCAAGATAATTCGGTGTAAGCGTCGACAACTGCGATGAGTTGTGTGCTGTCCCCGTGTTCGGCTATAGAATTAAATTTGCACCTCTCGTTTTCGCCATCACCGTAGCCGTGCACTTCCGAAATAAGGATACTCCGGGACAGTTTGCAACAAGTAGATGTCCTATACGGACGCTTTGCACATCCGGTGTCTGTACATATTTCTATATTTAAAACAAATCGAGTGGAATATATTATAACGCAACAGCAGCGTACAGCGGGGATACTGAACAATGCACCATACTCATAAATACATGACGAAGAGCCAACAGACGGCGAGTGCAACAGAACAGCAAAAGAAGTGCAGCTCAAGACGGCGGTCGGTGATAACACTCTTGTGCCCGCGCCTAATGCGCTCCAACGTTGGCGGGGGGGGGGGGGGGGCATGAGGCCATTCAATTCGTTGAGCTACTTTGAACATGTCCCATAGCGGCCTGACAGTAGCAAATGTGTGTTGGCTAGCTACGCAACTGAACAAATCTTCACATAATTTTACTTCCTTTGATTTGCAAATCATTTTACCTGGTAAACGTGCTTGAAAGTAAAATAACAATGAGGTGATTCAGTTTTTGAAAACTTTCCAGAGCAAAGCATATTAAAATACCAGTATAACGCCTTTTGTGGCGACTAACGGAGCGAGCGAGAGGGTGGCCCATGCACGTGCGAAATTGCGAACTCTGGCACATGGACATGCATTGCCTAGTAGGCGCCTACCTACATGCCAACTTTCAGCGCAATCGGCCCAGTAGTTACCGAGATATTGCAACAATTACAAAAGTGACACCTCTTCATTTTGCACGTGGCACGTGCATAAGGGGTCACCCACATGCATCGGGAATAGTCCAATACTTGGTAGAAGGAATGAAACTACCCTACAAAAATTACCGCATGTAAATCGGTCAAGTGGTTGCTGAGATATAAGCGTCGCAAAAGCGTGACCACGGCCGGCCGGCCGCTCATACTCAGAAATTTCCGTTAATCTAAGGAAAGACTACGCTCGCTTCGCTCGCTCCGTAATTAAAACAATATCCCATACGTATTATTAGAGCAACAACAAAGACCGCCGGCCGTCGGTCATGAACACCATTCACCTGTCACTATCACTGGCAGTGGAAACACACACACATACGCGCGCGCGCACACGCACATACACGCCAGCTGCAGTCAGTTACAGGTAAGCAGCTCCGCGGTGGAACTGCTGACGCTTGCGGAATGCCCTGCTGGAGGGCTGCACTGAAGCGCTGGACGCACGCACTGCTCCACCGGCTGCGCTCCGCCTAGCTGCGGCTTCCTCCAGCGCCTCTGCGTGGTCTCGTCTCCGTAGTTGCGCCACGTAGCGCAGTCGGAACCTTGTCCGGAGCTGGGCGTAGGCCGTCACCACTCGTGAGTCTAGCTGCGGCCACCTCTCACACAGAATTGCCACTAGGCTGTGGACGACACCAGCCTCGCGCGACAGATTGTCCGGCTCGTTATTGCGCCGCCGGAGGCCCCTGCCCTGGTGGAAGGCGCGAAACGTAGCTTCCATCTCCTGGAAGACGCCGAGCCACTGCCGCGTGGGCACAGTCAGGCCGCCTCGGCTCAGCAGCCGGATCCACCGCGCGTCGTCCGGAACTTCCTCAACAATGGCGTCGGCGGTGCGTGCGCCCAGTGACGGGTCGAGCCGAGCACACTTGCTCGCCAAGAAGCCTGCAGCGTAGGCCATGCCGTAGCGCTGCGCCTGGGACTCCAGCACTTCGGTCGGGTCGCCAGCAGGATCCAGCTCCAGCTCCTCCACGATGGCCTGCGGAGGCGGTTCCGGCGCCTGGACGAGATGGACAGGCTCCAGCTCCGTCTCTGGCTCCTCTTCCTCTGCTGCGCCCTCAGCTGTCTCGCAGACCCGCACCACCAGCGACGCGCTGACGCTCTCGGCGTCCTCCGCGGGGTGCCTTCTTGCCTGGAGGAACGCCGACGGAGCGCAGCTCTCCGGCTGAACAGCTGTGCCGCGAGCAGCAGCGGGGTCGGCGCCGATTAAGAGCAGCCGCACGCGCTGGATAAGCTCGACCGGAGACGGGTTGACGTTGCTTCCGAAGCGCGTGCGAACACAGCTGAAGAAGGACTCGAGGTCGTCCTGGTTCAGGCGCGCCAGAAAAAGAAACCGGAATCCCGCCACCGAGAGCATCTCCTCGAAGAGCGACAGGGCGGACTGGATGGAGACAACCATACCCTTCTGGCAGGGCAGCAGGTTGTCGTTGTCACCGAATCTGGCCGCCAACATCAGATGCGCGAGCCTCTGCAGCGCCAGCTTCTGGTCCTCCCAGTGTTCGTCCGCGCCGAAGGCGCAGCGGAGCGGCTTGTCGGCCACCAGACAGCGGGAGTTGAGGACGTCGAAGCCGGCGTCGATGGTGGCGCAGACCTCTGCGGCGGCCTCCTCGTCCTCAAATAGCTCCCGAATAGCTGCTGCGGTGCTGTTGCTGAGCAGCTGAGCGGCCAGGCGCACGTTCTGCCGGTCCGCGTGTTTCGCCTGCAGCATAAGAAACATGTGCAATTGCATTAATAACGCATTTCCACCTCAAGTATCGTCGGTGGTGTTTATAGGTACACTACATATGTACAATGAGTTGCATAGTTTTTATCCATGTCCAATTTACATTCCGCTAAACCCCTGTTTATGGGTATACATTTTCTGAGAAGTGAAACTCCCGCTTTACCAAGCATGAAAATTATAATCAACATATAAAATGGCCTCATTATTTCAAAATTACGTACAGTGATGTGCTTATCGGTGAGCTTGAAGCACATCTTGAACTCCGAGCCAGAGGCGACTTTGATGAGCTCCTGGAGTATCAGCTTGTCAAGCACGATGACTTTCTCCGTGCTGCCTGGCTCTTTCGGAAGATAGAGCCCATCATCCAGAACATGGTTTCGGATGTTCTTCAAGACGTGGGGGACATCCGCGAAGAACCATATGTGACTGGAAAAGTTAACTAAAATTAGAACAAATAAGCAAGACAACAATTTGCAATTTACTGGCTGAAACAGACATTTTCGGACAAACGCTAAGATAGTACGTGTCAACCGCCTCTGACAGCTTCGTAACATGTTACGAAGGCACCAAAACTACTTCGTAATTGTTTAAATGGTTGCTATATTCGAATTCGGCTAAAAAAACTAGCCTAGACTGTAAAATTGAAGGTGTTAAATTGTCTAACGCGGGGGTACTGAACGTTTCGTCGAGATCGGCCGCTTTTTACGCGATTTTATTCGCGAAAAACCTTAAGGAGGTTGCCCTGTGGCGGCGAGGGTTAAACGATGAACTGGCGAACAGCTGTTCGGTTAGCGTGCGAACAGCTATTTCGCGTTATTAGCGGAACATGACGAAACCTTCGAGTAGGGAGAAGTTTGAAACATCATACGCGTGGATACCGAATTTATTTCCACTCTGGCTGGA